AACAACAGATATTAAGTCTTTTAATTGCATTGTGAATAAGTTTTTCCAATGTTGACAGGGAATTATTGAACCAAATTTGATATTGGGGCCTGCAGGAGGGCCCCCCTCAGGCATTTCCCAAGAGTGTAGGGTTACCTTGCCTGTCCCTTGTTGATCTGCATTCATTAGTGGAATGTCAGCCTTTGCTACACCTTCTGCATATTCTAGACCTTCTAGGGCCTTCTGTTTGGATTATCTCTATAAAAAGCTTTGTTTTTAGGAACACCTTGCCTACAATCCTTTTTCAAATGGCTTTGTTTACCACAATTAAAACATCTGATATTTTGATTTTTCTTAAAATTATTAGAAATTACTTCTATCTAAGCAGTATCATAAGAGTGAGATCCAATATCAGCCATCTTTCTAAATCATTTATCTATTGGTCCTGATCTTACTTTTAAAGGCCTAATCACTCTTTTACATTCTGAATTAGCATTTTCAAAAGCCAAAGATTCAATTAATATCCATCTGACTTCTGGATCTGATACTATTCTATTTACAGATGATGTCAATCTTTGTAAAAAAATCAGTGAAGGCTTCTTTTGGACCTTGTATAATTTTAATAATTGACTCATAACCCTTTCCTGATTCTTCAACTTGTCCCAGGCATTCAAAATTGCTAAGCGACATAAAGTCAAGGCATAATTATTAAATTCAAACTGTCTTTGCAATTCAGCATATTGACCTTCATCTAGAAATGGTCTTGGAAAATATCAATTGTTTTAGCCCTATTTCTTTGTTTTGTGGCCCTAACTTCCTCTTTCCACCCTGTTCTCCATTGTAAGTGAGGACCAGCTTCCAATATTGCTGATGAAATCTTTCAAGTCTTGTGGGATAATTCTGTTGTGATTTGCCCATGAATTTAACATCTGCTTCACATAGGGTAAATACATACCATATGAAACTACTGCTTCTTTAAATCTCCTCAAATTTATGCCTATAGGATTCCATTTAACTTCCTGATAACCTTGGGGTGTCTATCGTCTCCTGGTTGTTGTATAGTAACTGGATAAACTAAGGTGGTTTTTCTAATAATCTTGGGCCATCCCTCTTCAGTTTCATCATGTGGTGGCGTGGTAGGTTCTTGTCTAAATTCCTCTGTGTCTGAATATTTTCTTATTTTCATTGGTAGGTCTTTCTAAGGCTTGTATCTTAGTGGTCAAATTTTTCTTATTTTTATTATCAAGTCTTTCTACAACTCGTATCATCATATTTGACACAATTATCAGACCACTTTTTATATTTGGCAGAGGAAGCCAGATAATTATAATCGGTATTATGTCAATCTCAGCTAAGTTTTTTATCCCCTCATTTACTGTTTTCATTTTCAAGCCATCCATAGTAGCACTATACAGGGTACTAGCACTCTGCATTGTGATATTTCCCATTCTTAACGTGGGAACGATTCTTCTTTTTAATATTACCCAACTCTCTACTTAAGGACTTCCCAGGTGTCCCACCAAATTTGCTGACTTCTCAATTTGGTGGCAGACTCAATCACCACCTGTGATTTCCAAGTGTAAACCTGCTTTCTGGAGTCCCTGTGAATGGCAGCAGCCAACTGATGTGAACTCTCTTTTCATGTGGTGGTGCTACATGTTGGAGCACCAAAATGTTGTTTTTCCACTGGCACAGAGGTTATATCGGAATCTACTGCTGTTTGAGTCAGGAACTGCAGCAGTTACTGGCCATACTTCACAGACAGCTATGTTCCAGTGGATCTGCCAATGCCACCAAATAGGTTTTTTTTTCCCTTAAGATTTATTTATGATCTATATAGTGTTCTGCCTGCATATATGCCTACATGCCAGAAGAGGGCACCAGTTCTCATTATAGATAGTTGTGAACCACCATGTGGTTGCTGGGAATTGAACTCAGGATTTCTGGAAGAGCAGTCAGTGCTCTTAATCTCTGAGCCATCTCCAGTCCCCAAATGTAGTTTTTAACTAAGTTTCTATTGTTCTATTTACCAATAAAGACTCAAGAGTCAGAGGCTGGGGTGAAAACTTGCTAGTTCAGAGAGGTTGAGGACCAATTAGCTGACCTTCAGTCTTCATCATCATCTCAGAAAGAGAGCATCTTTTTCTGTTGCTCCAAAAAGACCACCACACTCAAAGTCCTCGTCCATCTTACTTCCTGTGCCTCTCTATCCTGTTTCTGGTCTTCTTCTGACTCTCTTTGACTAGTTTCTGTCAACTACTTGCTGTCTCTGCCTTCTGACCCAAGATTGATTTTATTTAGTTAACACAAACGCAAACTTGAGGTTCACAGTATGATCATGGTAATTTATAGCAGGGGCTGGGGCAGATCAGTGGTAAAACATGTGCTTAGGAAGGATAGATAGATAGATAGATAGATAGATAGATAGATAGATAGATAGATAGATAGATAGATAGATCAGTGGTAAAAACATGTGCTTAAGAAGCACAGATACATACATACATACATACATGATGGATGGATGGATGGATGGATGGATGGATGGATGGATGGATGGATGATAGATAATTGTATTTGTATATGCATGTTTAGCCTGGAGTAAATGATATAAAACTAGAATATTTGTGAAATGCATGGGTTTGTGGCATAGAGTATACTCAATGAATGTTCTCTTTCTGTGCGAATTTTGAAATTTAATTATTAAAAAGTATTTATTATGTGTGGATGTTTTTCATGCATGTGTGTATGTATACCACATGCATGCGTGGTGCCCATGGAATCCAGAAGAGGGTTTTGGAACTTCTGAAAGTGGAGTTAGAAATAGTTGTGAGCCACAGTGTTGGTGCTGAAAGAATTGAACCTGGGTCCTTTGGAAGAGACCTAGCACTCTTAACCTCTGAGCCTTCTTCCCAGCCCTTGAAATTTCATTTTATGTCACAGATGCAAAGAAGAAATGTTCAGGCTGCACATCCATTCACTTGATGTGTTAGGTTCCAAGACCCTTTGCAATGAAACAGACTAAGAGGGAAGTAGCAATTTCTGTTGTGAAGTTTCTTAATTGCTAGCTTGTATCATCAGATCCTTAGAATTTAAACAGTTATCTTTTATGGATCTAGATGCTGAGTGTGTGACCAATTAAAGGGAAAGCAACCAGGTAAGGTTAAGTGAAAGTTTCATGTGATCATCCTGACCTTTGAAAACAATGACTAAGCAACATACTATTTCTCTTTTATTATACAGAGATGGGTTGGTTGCTTACCTTAGTGTGTTGCTAGTATGTGTGTATTTAAATTCATGATTGTGTGCATACGTGGAGACCAGAAAAATATGTTAGCCTGTCACTCTGTGCCTTGTTCTTTTGATAAAGGGTTTCTCCCCAGTGATTACCCTCCTCCCCGCTCCCCACCCCACACCCCCTACAATCTCTGGCTTTTACATGGTTTCTGAAGTTCAAACTCAGGTCCTTATTCTTTTGTTCAATCCACTGTCAGTTAAAATTTTGTTCCTTTGTTTCTCCAGCCTGTATTCCATGCCTGACCCATCTCTGTCGTTTGGAAATTCGGGCCTGTCTAAAAGCAGAACACCTTCGTTCTGACAGTTTCATCCATCAGTTGCCACTTCCCAGAAGTCTGCAGACCTATTTGCTCTATGAAGAGGTTTTAAGGATGAATGAAATTACAAGACCAGCAGCTATTCATAATAGAGGAATCAGTGAGGCTACCTGACAGCTCATTTTTTAGTTTAGTCATAAAAGGTGACTTGTGTGGTTGTTTGGATTTGGGGGTAATAGGAAATGGTAACTAGTCTTCCCAATTCCCCTCCTCCCCAATATTGTGAACCTTATTCATCCTGCCTTACATAGTTTTGTCTCCAGTGCACTTTGTTGTATAGTATTTGTTTCCTTGACCATTTTCTGTTTTATTATGCTAATAAGCTATGATGCTGCTATAGTGCTAGATGTGACATCTTTCCACTTAAGATTCATGTTCACCTGTACTCGAAGCTAAGGATGGAAGTCACAAACTTCCCAGGAAGAATATATAACAACTGTGCCTTTCAATCACTTACCATTGTTATTATTTTATTTAAGAATATCGCCTGTGTTTATAAAAAGAAATATTCCTGTGTTTTCATAGTGTTCTTAATTCAGCCATATTTATGAGGTGTTGTTATTCTTGCATTTTCACATGTAAACTCAGGGCAAAGGTTTTTTTTTTTTTTTTTTTTTAAGAGCATAGATTTCAGTCATATTGCTGGTCTCCTACTTCCTAGAACCTTTTTTAATACTTTTTGCCAAAAATATAGCCCATTTTTAGTCTTTAGCAAAGACAAGAACACACCTAAATTCAAAGGCATAATCAATATAAAAAATGTCATTTTAGAAGTATTGTACTCCACTTAGAATATTAATAAGGAAACATAAAAGGAGCATTGCAGTCATTGTGTGCTAAATATAGCAATCAGGCTTCATTCAGCTCCAGAAAAAGAGGGCAGCTTTTTTCCTATGAATAGCCAATAATATTCTATTAATACAATATTTTTCCTTCTTAATATCTAAATGTATTTTTAGAACATTGATGAAATAAAGACCTCAGAATCCTTCCTTGTAAGTTTTTACAATTGCTTTATCTAAACCTCAATTCAAGAAAAATCAAACATCATCAAGACAGTTGTCTGAGAGACTTGAAACTAGCCTTGGGAGGAAGTTACTAATGTGTTGCTGTCATGATAGGCAGCATAGGCTGGTTTCTACAGGAGGCAGGCCTTCATTTCTTCATAGCAATTTCCTGTGCTTAGATAGATTTTCTGGGCTCATCTCTGATAGGCCCTTGAAAGAAGCATGATAAAGGTTGACTTCATTAGAACTGATTGGGAAGACTGTCTCATCTCTTACATTCAAGTCTTGTTTGATATGGATATAAAGTTTGGTATTGAAAAATGAGGCAGAAATTCTGATTAGTTCAATTTAATAAAGATATTCCAAAATTGTATGCACTGTGTTGTCTTTTTTAAATAGTGTGACATTTATTTTTCAAACTCTGTTTCAGGTTTTGTTTTTGGTCATGGCTAAATGTACACAGAATTATTTTAAAAGATATGTCTTTTAATGTGTTTTGTTTGTGTTCAAATGCATTACAAAAATCCAGTTTTCCATAAATTATCATTGAGGTCTTATTTTTGAAGCCCTAAAAATCAATAGAGATGGCCTGTGGCTGATGAATTTTTGCCTTTACAGCAGCAAAAAGGTGACAAGCATCCCATAGAAATGCACTTTGAACTTGATCTTTTCCTAGGCTAGCAATACACAGTTCGAGATTCTCTTGAAGTCTGATGCCAGCCAGCCACGTGGTCAGGAGGATGACTGTAGGGGGCATGAGTATTCACAGATAAACACTGGAGAAACTAGGAATGTTAAACATTCAGGCTTATCTCTTCAATGGAAGGGATGTGTTTACCTGTTTTCCCACCCAGAAGGCTGGGAATGGATATTATTAATGACCCGATGACCTTGCTACCTGTAGTTTAAACCAGAGTTTAGTTCCCAATACCCATACAGAGTGGCTCACAACTGTAAATCCAGCTCCCGGGATTCAGTATTGTCTTCTGGCCTACAAAGGCACCTGCACACACATGGCATGTGCTCACACAGACTCATACACATGTAATAAGTAATAAATCTTTAGGAGAAAAAAAAGAAGCCTTTGGTTCTTACTGATTTGTTTTTGTTTTTGAAACAGGTTCTTGCTCTGAAGCTCAGGCTGCTAAACTCATTATGTAGCCTGACTTGGCTCCAGATTTGCAATGATCCTCTTGCCTTAGCCTCACCATTGTTGGGATTATAGATATGAGTCATCACACCTAGCTAAGCCCTTGGTTTTGAAGTTGATTAGTGATTATTATGGTTTGGGTCTAGAGTGGCCCTGGAAGGTCCATGTATTAAATGTTTGCTCTCTAGTCTGTGGTGCTTTGGGGAAGATTGAAAATCTCCCAAACCAAAATAAAACTTTTCTCCTTTTAAGTTGGCCATCTTAGGTGATATTTTTCAGTTGTGGAAAATTGACTGATAGAGTGATTTTTTTTAACCTTATTGTATGCAATATTTCTTTTTGACATTTTTTATATTAAAATACTATTTTTATAACTTGTAAGGACTCAGTGAAGAATGTAATCTTAAAACATGCAAAAAGTGAGTTGTGATTACAGCTTCTGATCAGAATCATATGTCTGGTTACAAGAGCTTTAACCTTGCTCCACTTGCATAGAGGTGCTTTAGTACTTAGTTTAAAGTTCTGTTAAGTGCCAGGTGTTGATAAGAATCATCTAGTTACATGAAGTTTAAACCCTGCCCCACATGCACAGTGGTGCTTTAGTATGTAAAGATCCAGTGAATGCCAGGTATAGGATATCTCCATACATGTTATTGACTAGTCAGTGAGGCCCCACAAAACAACATAAGGTATTTCATTCTTCTTGGTTGCCTACTATTGCTAGATAGACCCTGTTGCTAAAGACACCACACACTTTGGTTGCTGGACGTACAAAAATCAATTTCAAACTTACTTGGAATCTACCTTCCTGACAGCTAGATTTCATAGTATCCAAGGTAGATATTCAGACCACTTGTGGAGAAAAGTCATCAGTGGACTTACTCAGTGGTGGACCGTTTATGCTATCGTGCTGATCTGCTATGGAAGAGACACATCATGTCTACCAATTGTTTTCTGCTTGGACTTCATGTACCCAGTCACATGTAACCAAGGTATCAGGAGTTGTATATGGGTAAAGCTCAGACTAGGAGATCCCATTACTTAGGTCTTTATGACTTGAGGCAGTTATTTGAAAACTCCTGAATTCTGATGAGAGCTAATATGGACCTCAGGCATCTCAGGAACACATTCCCTTTGGTAGGAGGAGTAATTAATTTACCTAAATAAATATGGGCACATTTGACATCTTACACTATCATAATAGTTCTATAATGCCATTTCTATTCTTTTTGTCATTTATCATAGAAAATGAAAACAACAACAACAAAACACCTAAGGAAAAGTTAGTATCCCAAAGTATGACTTTTCAGGTTTTATGTTTTGTTTTCTTTCTTTTTTCCATCATCAAGGCCCAATAGCTGTTTTTGTGTTTTAAATCTGTATTTATTATTGTTTCTGCTTTATTAAATGACAGTGATCATTGATGTATTCATGCCTTGTAGGAAATAAACAATTATTTTGTCTAATAAAATCCTGTAGTTTTAATTAGATGAGGCTGATTGTGCATACTGTTTCTGTAACATGAGTACAACCTCTATTGCATTAACATCAGTAGTTCATAGAGAGGTCAGTATGTTATATTTTTAATAAAAATACTTTGAATAAATTGAGTGCAGATTTTAATATAACGTGTGGAGTTGCTTTGGTGAATAAATGTTAAATGAAGGAGATTTATTAACTGGTTACTATGCTAATAAACCCCTTAAGAAATTCTCATTTAGAAATTTTAAGAAATTTTCATAGAAATAAAATTAATGACATTAAGTGTTTCATTTGAAATGGAAATACATGTTATTAAAAGTTAAAGGTGCCCCACATCTGACAGAGAATTGATCTCTACAATATATAAAGAACTCAAGAAACTAGACATCAAAGTACTGAACAGTCCAATTAAAAAATGGGCTAAAGAGCTAAACAGAGAATTCACAAAACAAGAACTACAAATGGCTGAAAGACATTTAAAGAAATGCTCAACATCCTTAATCAGAGAAATGCAAATCAAAACGACTCTGACATACCACCTTACACCTGTTAGAATGGCTATGATCAAAAACACCAATGACAACCAATGTTGGAGAGGATGTGGAGCAAAGGGAACACTCCTCCACTGTTGGTGGGAATGTAAACTTGTACAACCACT